TTATAAACCTTATAAACCTTGAAAACCGTATAAACCTTATAGACCTTATAAACCTTATAAACCGTATAAACCTTATAGACCTTATAAACCTTATAAACCCTAAAGCCCCAAAGGATCTGCCCCGGGAGTCCCTCGCCGGCCTTCCTGGCATTGGAGCGTCTTTTCTTGCGGCCGGCCTTAACGGCGTTCTCGGGTTTAGGCTTTGGGGGTTCAGGGTTTAGGGCTTAGGGTTTAGGGTTTAGGGTTTAGGCCTCAGGGTTCAGGGTTTAGGGTTTAGGGTTTAGGGTTTAGGGTTTAGGGGAAATCTCGGTGCTTGGTTGTAGTACTGGAAATGACTCGCTCGGGGAGTTGGCGGGTCTGCAAGCCTACAGAATACCCCTGAAAACCATACCAAACCGTCTCGCAGTCGCATCATTCTCCTAGGGTCCAGGATTGAGGGTGTAGGGTTTAGGGTTTCTCACACAGGGCCGAAGTTCTTGCCAAGACTTCAGGTTCAGAGCAAGCAGTTCTTAGGGTTTCGGGTGTCGGGTTGGGCGAAGGCTCTACGCTATAGGCCTTTCAGCGTGTTAGACTTGGGAGTTTGAGGCTTTCAGAAGGATCCTAGCACTACCGAGTATAACGGGGGTTTTGTTGTACCTTGCCCTACAAGTGCATGAGCGTTTTGAACAAGATCAGCAGAAAGACCTTCCAAAAAAACCTGCACACTCCCCTGCTAGTCCGCCCTAGACCCTCAACCCTAAAACTTGGCGTCTGAAGAACTGCTAAAAAAATACGAATGTTGCTTTGGGTTTAGGGTTTAGGGTTTGGGGCTTAGGGTGAAACTACCAATGTTGTGTAGGGTTTAGGGTTTAGGGTTTAGGGTTTAGGGGTTATTACCGCTCTGCTGAGTTTTCAGTCAAAAAACTCTATCGATTTATACTGCAACATGCGCCCCTAAACCCTAAACCCTAAACCCTAAACCCTAAACCCTAAACCCTAAACCCTAAACTTAAACAGCGCCCCGCTTCAAGGTTGAAGTCTTCGGGGCGAAGACTTCGGGGAGTCGGGGAATTTAGGGGTGAGGGATTTGGAGGTTTAGGGTTTAGGGTTTAGGGTTTAGGGTTTAGGGTTTAGGGTTTAGGGTTTAGGGGAGTTTGAAGATTTCCCTAAATCCGAAACCCCTAAACCGATAAACCCCTGACCCCCTAAGTAATTTTTCGTAACCCCTACACCCACACCCTAGTGGTTTCAGGGTTTGGCTGGTTTGGGGTTTTAGGGTCTGGAGGTTAGGGTGGAGAACCGGAGGTCCCTCAATTCTGAAACGAAACCGGCGCTGAACAAACATAGCTGGACTTAGGGTTTAGGGGTTTAGGGCTTAGAGGTTTTAGGGGTTTGGGGGTTTAGGAGTTTAGGGGTTTACGGGATTAAGGGTTTAAGGGTTTAGGGTTTAGGGTTTAGGGCTTATGGTTTAGGGTTTGGTGGTGCTGCTGTATGCAAGGTAAAACTACATTGGAGGAACCCAAAGGAGTAACGCTGAGAAGTCTTCAAGCCACGATAAACCAGATAAAAGCCCTGCAATGCCTTTGCAAAAAGGCCTCTGGCCCCACGATAGAAGCCATATACAAGCCCCTTTTTGGTGCCCTTACACAAACCCGACCGAGCCTGATCTAGCCATGTGCGCATGAAGACGCGGTTCTTGCGCCCGCTCTGGCAGCCATTGATCTGAGTATGCAGGTCTTCGTCTTTTTTGTGGGGGTCTTTTTGCTTTAGTGGGGGCCATTATACCCTAAACCCTAAACCCTAAACCCTAAACCCTACACCCAAACCAGGTTGGGTTTTTCTGTAATGGTTCCAAGGTTGGCCGTAGGGTTCATGGTTGCCTGCAGGGTTTAAGGTTTTCTAGAGAGCTCAGGATTTCTATAGAGTTTAGGGTTATCTGGGCTAGAGCAAGGTTGAGAGGTGCTTGAAGCAGAACAGCATCCAACGTCCGAACATAACTCAGAGATCATGGCTGTTCCATCATACAATGTCAGGTGCACTCTTGAGCCCTAGGCCATCACAAACCGTTCAACTCCTATGCAGCTTACTGGACTTTCACTGCTACTTACTCTGGACGCCGGTGCAACACTAAACTCTAAACCCTAAACGGCTTTGGGTTCAGGGTGCAAGGCTCTGCTGGTAGAATTTTTGATGTAGTTAAGCGATAAGCCGACTTAGCAAGTTCTGTAGGCGTATAAGTAAGGTAGCTAGAGCTATAACTCTTTGTAGCCCGCAGATCAAATTCCTTGATCCGCTACGTAGGTTTGGGGGGACGACCTGCTGAATTCTGTCGTGTCGGTTTAGGGTTCAGGGTTTAGAGTTTAGAGTTCAGGGTTTCGGGTTTCGGGTATGTCACACCACGTAGACGTAGACTGAGAAGCATGTCACTCTGATAAGCCGTGTGTCACATGACGATGCACTGCGATTGCGCGTAAGGGCTTTATCCTGCGCTGTGCTGCATCATCTTGTGCTACATCGCGCACTAGAGCAATTCCCAATTATGTCCTCTCCCATGCCACACAGCACCGTGCTGTCTCATGGCACATGAAGATGTAGCCAGCCATGTCGGAACCCCGAACCCGAAATGCTAGCCTAAAACCTGAAACGAAAACGTAAACCCCAATGGCTTGTGAAGAAAACCAAACCCATCATCGCACCTTGCGGAAGTGCACATTTGGGATGATATTGTTGCCTCGCATGCGCATTTCGGGCTCAAAACACGACAGACCGGTTAGGTTAGCGATCCGGGGCATAGAATAGTGTGGCGGTGCCAGAGCCACGGTTTAGGGTTTAGGGCTTAGGGTTCAGGGTTTAGGGTTTAGGGTTTTCAATAACTCAAAACTTTAGGTTGAGGGTTTATTTGGAGGTTCATGCGTAGTGATGAGTAGGGCTTATAAGGAGGATGACTAAACTAAACTTATAGCCTGTATGAGGGGACTGATAGCCCAACTGACAACTACGAATGGCTGAGGAGTTTAGAGTTTGAGGGCTTAAGGCTTTGGGTTTAGGGCTTCCTCCCTAATTTATGAACCCTAGTCCGCCCTAGCGTTCACAGGCAGCTGCAACAGCAACAGCGTTGTTCTAGCCACGGTTGCACAAAGTTTCCTCTAGAAGCGGCTGTCCCACCAGCGACTGGGGTAGATGCGACACTAGCAGCTAACGTGTACATCGTAAGCCTGACAGCCTTAGAAACCCAACAATCACAGCAAGAGAAAACTTCGAGAGCAACAACGGCACGACAGAGGCCTAAACCCTAAACCCTAAATCCTAAACCCTAAACCCTAAACCTAAGACCATAACCCAAAACCTAAACCTAAAACCCTAAACCATCCTAAACCCTATACCGCAGATCCTACCCTTCTAGGGTCTACATGCATAAGCGGCAAACTTCTCCGAAAGCCGGCGCCCAACCCCAAACTGCCCTGGACCCAAGAGACTCCAAAAGCCCTCAATTAAGTAAGATGCTTTAGACTACAGCTTGGAGTTATTTTTTGGAGGGTTTAGGGTTTAGGGTTTAGGGCTTAGGGTTCAGGGCTAAGCTCAAGGAAAAAAATCCTCAATACAGGGTTTTGCAATCTCAGGGAACTGCCTCCGTGACCCATGGTTGCTGGAAGCCGCAGACAAGGCAGAGCTATTTGAGCCTCTTCCCTTGTAAGCCGGTGTTGGGCGCGCAGCAGGGACAACGAAAATGAGCTTAGAGTTTAGGGATTTGGTTTAGGGTTGAAGAGACAAGCGATGAAACGGAACAGGCACAAAAAGTGTAAGCTAAGCAAGAATTTTGGCCTCTGGGCGAGACGCACCAGGCTTATAAGGGAAACAACACACACTTTAAGCTACAAGCCCTGCACCTTGAAACGATGCAGTATCCTGATCTGTTAAACTTTCCTACACCCACAAGAGGTACATCGCGCCCTAAATGGGGGTCCGGAAAACAGGTAACTCCCGACACTAGACCCCAAGAATGGAATCCTTCTTATGAAGACCCCTATACACGTTAAGAAGCCCTAAGATCACTCCTGTGCTCCTTGACACCCGCAAGCGGCACTGGAAATGTTCGACGAGACCCCACACGGCTGAGGCTAGGGTTTCGAGTCTGGGGTTTGGGGGTTTATAAACCCTGAACCCTAAACTCTAAACCCTAAACCCTAAACCCTAAACCCTAAACCCTAAACCCTAACCCCTAAATCGGGGACCCGGTTGGGTCTGGGAAAATAGAAGCTCGGGTTGAGGGTCAGTTACGGTTAGTTGGCTGGGCTCCTGGTTTAAGATTTACGCGGTTCTGGTTAAGGAACTCCTTAGTTCAGTAGGGTTTAGGGTTGAGGGTTTAGGGTTTAGGGTTTAGGGTTTAGGGTTTAGGGTTTAGACTATGGGAAGTACAGTAATTATGTTCCTAATGTGGGAACTTCGGTTAAGTTCGGGAACCAGAACCCAGGAAAAAAAAAAAAAGAGATAGAATAAAAAGACACATTGAGGATGCCGGTCAAGCGTTCGACGTTCTTGGTGTTGGGGCGCAGGGGTCTTCTGCTGCAATTTCCTACTTGTAAGACGAGACAGAACCTATAAACCCTGAACCCTGAACCCTACTGGAAACTCTCAGGCCCAGGATAAATTGAAATTGCATGTCTTGTCGTCCTGTGGAAGAACCCAGGAACCGAACCCTACGCAACTTCTTTGCTGGATTCCAGAGGAAAAGAAAAGCAAGAGACCAAACTTAGCCAAAACCCAACAAAATTCCCTGGAACTTCTGAAGGAAGAGGCTTGAAAGTTGAAGGCGGTTTAGGGTTTAGGGCCTGTTTAGAGATAGCATTTAGGACTTTGATGCACGCTGGCACAGAACTTGCAATGTTGAAGTACGAAATTCAGGGCTTAGGGACGAAGGCTTTTGGTTCAAGATGATCAACTATTGCAGCTGCTCCCTGCCCCCCTTTTCTGGCTCTTCCCGACTCTTCCCCTTTGGTCCCAACTGTCTTGCTCTGTGTGGCTCATGTCTCCTTGGCGGCAGCGTCCTTGGCCTTCTTCATGCGCTCGCCGAGGTAGTGCTTGTTGGTGCGGGCCTTCTTCAGCTGCTTGTACGCGGACGCCTCCTTCTCCTCAGCGGTGATGGCACGGGCGCGAGTGCGCTTCTCCGGCTTGGGCAC